ATCCGGGCCTCACAAGGTATACATTGAACGGTTAATGTTACAATGTAAATATTAATTATTATAAAAATATGTGCATGATACTTAGGTCGTGTGGTGAACGTGTCGTGTATAATGGGCCGCATATCCATGAGTCCCATCGGGTGGTACTGTATGTCCAAACACGCGGTCATTGCCTTCTCGGACACACTTAGGCGTGAAATGCGTTCATTTGGTGTACGAGTGGTTACTATTGAACCGTCGGGTTTTCGCACCGGTATTACCGACGATCGCAACCGTTTTGGGAAAATATGCCGGACGTGGAGACACACGACCTAAGTATCATGCACATATTTTTATAATAATTAATATTTACATTGTAACATTAACCGTTCAATGTATACCTTGTGAGGCCCGGATAAGTGGCAAGAAAGCCCTGGTCACTCGTATCACACCAAACATGTTTACAGCAAACACCTGTTCATACATTTCCTCAGTTCCCCATTCAATGGGACATTCATTACAGATGCCAGCGTTGTTTACCAGTGCCCACAGGTAATCACCATGGCATTTTTCTTTTAAATGCAGCTTGATGTACTTATATGCTCGTTGAACATGGTTATCTCTGGTCACATCCATAGCCAAAATATGCATTTTGTCGGAAAAGCGTGCGTTTGTAGTCAACTCTATAGCGCCGGCACTGGACTCGGATACGACGGTTGCGTAGACTCTAAACCCGCGTTCATTGAGACGCACAGCCAGTCTGTGCCCAAAACCCGAGTCACACCCTTTAGGGTAATATAAATGCTTTTATAAAAATAAATGTAATTATTATTATAGTTTTAAAGGAACAATGTAATTAAATATATGTAATTACAAAGTTGCCCTTATCAATCAAGCAAGTTAAATGTAGATGTTACATTTTATATTAATTATTGCTCACCAGTTATTACAACGGCTTTACCCTTTGATGTCAGCAATACTTTTGGCTTATATTTGTGCCACAATTTAAGCGATAGATAAGTGATAAACATGTTTAAAAATATTTTACTAAAAAATGTTATAATATTGTGTATTATTATCAAAAAATATGTTATTAAAATTAACATCGTGAAAGTGATTATAAATTGTCATAGATACAAATAAATTTTTAATATTTTAATTAATTTTAATTAACTTATTTTGATACATTGCTAAAACAAACTGTCCCTTATAATTAATTATTTATTTTACATATGAATTATTGTTTAATTATTATAATTATGGTTATTAGAATTCAATAATTTAATATTATCATTAATATTAATAATTTTTTATGCCATATTTTTTTGTAGAATTTAGCATGAAGTATTTCTGGCACATATTTAATTATTATCTATTATGTAAGTTTTATTTATTGCTAATTTGTATATTTTCTAACTTTATTATTTATATTAACACATACAGTACATGTAGTTGAAATTAGTCAAAATTATTTTATTCAATTTATTGTAAATATTACAATCAGTTGTTTTTAATTAATTGTGATTTATCCATTAACCCCATAATTACATCAAGCCATTCGGACGGCACATACATCATAGTATATACAATTATTTTACCTATAATACCTTGAACAGGGGTATACCTAACTTTGGGCTCAGCATTCTGTATGCCATCAATTATATCATTAACAACAATATTGATATTATCGCCGGATCGCCAAACATCATCGTTTTGCAGTATATTCTCTTTTAAACCATCCAGGTAATTATTACCATATGCTTGTTGTATGTCAGTTGGTGTTTGACTCCATGTCCGCAATAAACCGCGCAAACTGTTGTCCTGTTGTGTAATACCGGTGCGAAAAAATGAGGGCTCAATAGTGGCCACCCGTACACCAAATGAACGCATTTCACGCCTAAGTGTGTCCGAGAAGGCAATCACCGCGTGTTTGGACATACAGTACCACCCGATATAGCACACGGAAAAGCGGCCCAACATACTGGCCACGTTCACTACACGACCTATACATCAATTAGCATGCACATATTTAATAATATATTATACAGGTATATATATATTTAAATATAATAAATAACATGATTATTTATTATACCCCTTGAGGCCCGGATAAGCGGTAGGAAAGCTCTAGTCACACGAACTACACCAAACATATTCACAGCAAATACTCGCTCATAGGACTCGACACTTCCCCACTCCATAGGCCCTATACAAGCGGTGCCGGCGTTGTTTACAATAGCCCACAACTGATCACCTTGGCTTTTTTCGTTTAAATGCAGTTTAACATGTTCAACGGCTTTTTGAACCTGTTCTTCGCTGGTTACATCCATAGCAAGAACATGCATTTTGTCGGGATAGGGCACTTTTGAGGTCAACCCTATAGCGCCGTCACTGGACTCGGATATGACGGTCGCGTAGACTCTGAACCCGCGCTGATTGAGACGCACAGCCAGTCTGTGCCCAAAGCCGGTGTCACAACCTTTATGTTATTTAATAAGTTAAATAAAACAATTTATAGATTCTAGTATATTTTAATTAATTAACTACCCTTACATTGACACTGTATATAAGTTACAAATAAATAATTATTAAACATTTATTAATAATTAAATTTATAAGTAAAAATGTTTTATCTATAAGAAACTGATTTCAAATTTTATTTAATGTTATATAAAAATAAAAGTAAATTTTTTTTAAAAACAAATAAAATTAAAAACAAAATTTTAATAATGATAGAAAATGTAAAAGTATGTAATTATTTTTATATTACGTCATTCAAAAGTATTTTATTAATGTAAAAATTAAATTACTAACTTATCTCAAGTAATTACAAATTGTATTTTAATTCATAGCAACATACCTGTTATCAACACAGCTTTGCCCATCGATGACAACATAATTTTAGGCTTGAATTTCCGCCATAATATAGTGAATAAATACGTGGTAAACAATATCAACAAAATATTGTCACAAATTGTCAATATATTCCGCATTGATGTGCAGTAATACGCAATGATTGACAACATTGCAAAAACTAAGGTAAATTGTACTGCAAATGAAACCATTATAATTAATTAATATTAAATAATTATTATTAATTTACAAAAATTAATTATTTTAAACAAGTTTCCTTTTAAATGCAAAAATGAGATTTAATATTAAAAAAAAGTCACATTAAAAACAGCATATGATAATTGTTTATCATGCTATTAAATAAATACATTATAGTGATAGAAATACCCAAGGTTATAGTTTGTGGTGGATGTCTGGCTATATCAAACTTAATGTTGTTATTTGTATTATAAACAGTTAGTACATTTAATCAACAATTTACAAAATATTTTGAACATTTTTTCTTTATTTTTAAAATTTAATATTATGTATAATAAATACTTAAAATGTTAAAAGAACAAAACAAGTAGGCATAATAACAAGTTATTTATTAATTATTGTTAAATGAAAATAATTAAAGATACAGACAATTAATTGCATGTTATAAAGAATTTACATAAATTAACTTATAACGTGGCATCATTCCAAATTATATAATAATTATTTACATTTAATTAGTATATTTAGTAAATTAAGTGCAATATCTGATAGTGCATTATCAACATTGATTAAATTATTTTTAAAAATAAATCTCAGTAAAAAATCTCGAGATTAAATATTTAAACACATTTAACGATATATGTAATTGATAATAATTATAATTAAATAACAAGTCCATACATAACATAAACAATAATAACAGAAAACACAATCAAATTATTAAACCCTAAACTCTCAGCGGTGGACCTGTACTCACACTATGGGTTTTCACGGTAAGTGTCCGGATAGCAAACACACCGGCCCTAAATAAAGTTAACATATTATTCTTTCAACATTTTATTTCAATGGTAAACACAATGCATGATAATAATATGCCAATAAACCACACTGGTAATATATTTTTGAATATCTCCATTAAAGTAATTATATTATCATTTGTCAATTTATATGTGCTTTTAATAATTTGTTTTGGATAATTAATTCTACAAATCACAAACGTTATTAACTTATGATGAACATCCAGGCCAGTTTCATATATTTGTCTGTACCTATAAAATGTAAGCAATTAATAATTAATTCAATAGTTATACAATAATTTATAATTATACAAAATATTTAAAAGAATAATGGTCATAATTACGCAAATTTCATTTGTTGATTATAATAGTATTTTGAAAATACATTTTGCGAATTCTGTGGCACATATTTATATGGACTAAATGCAAGTAAATGTGAATATTGAACGTACATTATTTTATACGTATTTATAGAAGTGCTAGGTAAAAGTAAAACTACTTTTCCGTTTATTGTATCCAAAACTGTATTATCACCAAATAAATATTCCCCTGTGAATGTTGTGTTTAATTTTATTTCGTATAATTTAGCTCGTTCTTGTATTTTATCAAATTGTTTATTACCAAAGAGATCATATATAAAATAATGAGGCATTTTAACTGATAATTGATTATTATTACTAATATCATCCATAGTGTTAACAATAGGCACGTGTTTGACGTGAAAATACATATTCAGTAAAATACTTGAAAATGATTGAGCAATTATATGAGTGCTTAATATCCAAATGTATAAAATAGTTATCATTGAAATTAATTGTAATTTTGATGAAAATCTCTTTAAATGTAAATATTGTATTAATTTTGAGGCTTGTTTTGTTAATACACTAAATAAATCAATTACAATATTTATAAATAATCTTTTAGTTTTTGATATAACTTTGACTAAAAGGCTAATAATAATCCAGGTAATTATTAATGTAAACCAAATCTATAATATAATTATAAATTTCCAAACAAATAAATATTTTAAATGTAATTATAGTTAAATGCCTTTACCTGCTGGTCAAATAAATTCAGAAAAGCTCCATATGAATTATCATGCTGCAATTTTAGGCCACTTATAATTTCCAATAAATATTGATTATGAAATAATAAACCATCAAAATTACCATATATTGCAGCATTCTCATTTATAAGCATAAGAATTGTTATGGTATTCTATAATCAAATATTAATGAATTTAAACATTAGAATTTTTCAAGTTAAAATTGGATACAGTGCAACTTCTCTATAAGAAAGTTTTTTAAACATATATTTTTTCATTTAGGGAAAGGTTTCTCATGTTTTTATGTCATTTTAATATGAGCATTATTTGAAAACTATCCCATATGTTTCAACAGTAAGCATCCTAAATAAACATCCCTTATAGAGAGCTAAAGATTAATAAAGGTAAATGGTAACAATCAAGGCAAATATAACTCTGAGTTAACTTTTTACCCTTATGTTTCTTATTAATTTCATTAAGAAAAGTTGCGTAAATAAATATTAATATTTATTTAATAATAATAAATATGAAATAACGTTCAATACATTAGAAGTTAAAATAGGAGTTTCATGATAATTAATATGGCGAATTATTATTCTCATATGTAATTCACATAATATATATTGTAATAACGATAAACCTTGTCCATACAAATGATTGTTCTTTTAAAACAAATACAATATTAACTAAGATAGAAATACAGTGAACATCTCGTAGCTGATCCAGTCGTGGTTGATATGGTCATGTCCAGTATTGTATAGTGATTCATAAAAAATTGTCAAAACGTGCGAATGGCCAGAATCACCGAAGTTATGGTCATATTTCTAGATACTTGCATACGCCTTATAGCATTATAGTTTTGGTAAATGACATTACTCATGTGAAAAGCCAATATTCAATGCATACAGCTCTATGCAAGTGGTTAGAAATTTGGTCATAACTTCGGTGATTCTGGCCATTTGCACGTTTTGACAATTTTTTATGAATCTCCATACAATACTGGACATGACCATATCAATCACGACTGGATTAGCTACGGGATGTTTACTGTATTTCCTTCTAAGTATCAATAAATATCAACTAAATAGATTGCTTACCGTTGTACCAACAAGCCAAATATATTGAGAATAAGTTGAATTAGCGGGTAATTTACAATAATAAATTGATTGATAGCTTATATTGAGAAATAGTACTATGTTTTTGTAATTTG